GGTGTCGGGGTCGGGTCCTCAATTATTGGGGTTGATTTTTGGATCATAAATTATTTTCCTAAAGAGTAATTTTTTAGTCTCAAGTAAAAAAAAAGGAAGATATTTTCTGAAAACTATTTTTCATTCTCCAACCAAACATTAAAAAATATTTTCCAGAAAATATTTTCTACTCTCCAAACAAACATGAGAAAATAGGTTAGAAATGCACTTGTTTTCCAAGAAAACATTTTCCTTCCTACCAAACACACCCTCAATAAAAGTTAATTTTAATTACATCAAAATTTATGTGTCATAATTATTGTATTCACAAAAAAAAAATTATTATACATAAAGTACAATGAATACATCAAAGTTGTTGTATCTTACTAAATTATATATCATATTTATTAAATTTATATAAAAAATTCGTTATATATAAAGTACATTGTATGTGTATGATTCATTGTAATGTATATCTTTTGTTAAATGATTAATTAGAAAGATTGTTTTAGGTGCTATCAATTTCGCAATCCGGGCTTGGAAGATAGATGTTCAGCAGGAACAATAGCAAATTATTTTTGATACTGCAAATTCGTTTGGGAGATGAAATCTCAAAAAAATTGAATGAACTTACTTATGAAAATGACATTAATGAATTTGAGGTCATGATTAATGTTCTCGATTACCATAGTAAAATAGAAGTTAATAACTTGTTGGATTATCTGAATTAAAATGATACATGTTCACAGGTCCAAAACTTAAAAAGACATTCTAGATACCACTGGAAAAAACAATATTGAAGATGATACAATGCCTTTTGAACAAGTTACGCGTAAAGAAACACTTATTATATATAACTCTTCACAATTTTATGATGCAATTCAAAAAGACAACACCGGGACTTTTGGATGCAACAAGAAAAATTAGAAATGATTTTTAACTAGATTTGAATTTCAATAAAAACCAAAACACAATAGAATCATATTTAACTAAATTGTCTTAAAATATTTTAGGTGTGGCAATTGGGTGGTTTGGGTCAAATTTAGACGGGTCATAATGGGTTAGCAATCAGTCAAGACCCAACAAATTTGCTTGGGTCAAAATAGGTTAAGTAATGTGTTACATTACGGGTCAAGTCCCAACCCAATCCAATTTTTACTAAATTTAATTGCTTTATTTGTTCTTTTAAACTATTTTAGTATCTAATAAATTTATTATTATTATTATGGCTATATACGACATATCAAATTGAAAAAAAATTAAAATATTTCAACAAGATTTTTCATGAGTCAATTTGGGTTACATATCAACCCATTTTTTAATGGATTGAAATGGGTTTAGCTAATGAATGGGCGGGTCGATAACCCACCCAAATTTAAACGGGTTGGACGGATTGAGTTTGATTTTGTCACCCCTAATATATTTATACTTTTAAAGAATTATTAATTTATAATATTAATGAAAACATATATTCATAAATGGATCTTCTGAAAATTATCTTATTATTTTATTGAAATGGATGAATTATTTCATTGGTCCAAGTTGGAATTAGAGAAAAATATTATCTTAGAGAAATTATTAATTTACCGAGTATTAATTTAATGAGATTTATTGTGTTTTATTTACGATTGTGTTTGAAGATTTATGTTCACCTCAATAAATTTAGCATATGTTTTATTCTTTTCGTTTCTTTCATTATTGTACGACATTAAATTATATATACTCAATCAATATTTTTTCATTTTCTTTTGGACAAAATTAATATTATTTTAAAAGAAATATAAAAAAAGATTGATAATGTAAAAATATAATAGATATTTTTAAAAAAATCAATTAGAGGAAAAAGAGAAAATAATTATTTCTCAAAGTTAAGGGGGAGTTTGATTTTTAAAGTAAGGTTTGAATGAATTTCATTCAATAATTATATCTATCAAACTTAAGATTAACGAGAAAAAATCACATATTTTATTGTTTTATTAAACTTTGAACCATGACCCCAGCAATTCATTACAACTTTATTAATCATTACAGTATACTTTTACATAAGGACGGATTTTCTATTGTATCAAGTGTGAATCCAAATAAAGTCAGCACTTTTGGCTAAGATACACTATTCATATTCTAAAAATGATTAAATATATTTAAATATCTAATTATGAATATATGAGTAAAATTAATTGTGAATTTGATTTAAATTTATAAATTTTAAATTTTACTTTGATTTATTTTAAATCAATATTTTAAAAGGGGGAGGGGGAGGGGGAGGTGTGAGGCAAGTCATATCATAGCACGGAGCCACGAACGAAGCATAATCCTCAAAACCGGAGACATAAGTTCCATGAATCTATAGACTTATATGTTATGTATCTTAAATTTATAATTTTATTACTAAAATATAAATAAAAGAAAAAACTTTAATATTTCTGTAAATAAATAACGGACAATATTTTAAAAAATCATAATAATTATTTGAAAAAAGATAACAACACAAAAAATAAAAATAGCCGAGATAATCTTTAATATGAAATTATCGTTCATCCTTACATCTACTAGTCATTCTCACTCAACTAATATTCACAGATTATTATTTATATATTTCAAAAAAGAAGAAAGATAAAAAGAATAAGAGTAATGACAAAAAATAGATAAAGTTATTCCAAAATATAGTATTATAGAATCTCTATATTATCAATTTCAGACACAATTATCTAGACAATATCACATTGTATAAAAATTATATTTTTTATTTATATATTTCAGAGTGAAAAATTAAAATATGATAGCAGTATATAAATTACTATATCAATAATATAAAATATGATTTATAGTAAAAATACTTTTAAAATAATAAAAATTAAATTTTTTATCACACTTAATGCACAAAATATGCGTTTTTATGCCCAAAACTTGTGCTTTTACGCCCCAAATTCTAAAATGTATACCTTATAAATTTATTTCCAAAGCTATTTTAATATACCTCACCCCAAAAATCATTGTGAGACTCATGTCAAAAACATTTTTGAAAATACTGATCTAAAACCTTTAGGGATCGTTTGGTGTGATGGAAAAGAAGATTTAATCGCAGGTAACTTTTGAGTGATGTTTAATTTGTTGTTTTGGTTGCAAAGGCTGAGAAAATTTATCCCAGGATTAACTATTAGTCCTGGGATAAGTTATCCCTTACTAGGGGTGGAATAGTAATCCCAGGATAACTTATCCTGGGATAAAATGTATAAAATAACAAAAATACTCCCCTTAAACTCTCTTATATACACCATTTTTATATTCATGTATAGTAACATAATTTTTAACAACATTTATAATAACATTCACAACCTTAATTATTTGTTGTTTTTATGATAATATTTTTTTTTTATTAAAAAATTACATTTTATAAATACTATTTATATTTATGATATATTATAAGTTGAATTTATTTGCCTAATTCTTATGTTTATTTATATTTTGATTTTTTCTTAAAATGTTCATTTCACTACTCAATTACATATTTTAAATTAAATAGTTTACTACTCATTTAAAAATTATATTTTATATATCAATTAAAATGTAGATAGCTTTAATAATAAAATTTCTCTTACTTTAACAAACTTAAAATGAAAGTTTTATTTTTAAGCTAAATAAGATGAAAATTTTATTTTTAAATAAATAACAAGAGAGATTTATTTTTAATCTAAATAAGATGAAAAATTGTTTTAAAGTTAAATAAAAGAAAGTTTAATTTTAAAAATATACAACACAATTATGAAAATGCACACACAAAATATCTAATCTAAATAGGATGAAATTTATTTTAAGTTAAATAAGATGAAAATTTTATTTTAAAAACATATATCATAATTATCAAAATGCACACACAAAATATTTAAACTAAATAGCTTATTTTCATATAACTTATCCTCATATAACTTGTATTCAAACCAGACGATCGCTTATAATTAGAATATTTTTATTGGTAAAGATGGTATGCGTCAGTTTGTCCGTCTTGATTCTATCTACCCAAAAGTTTTTGTACATGAAAACTAAAGCTCAACGTGGCAAGGACAGAGAGTTAGTGTAGGGCCCACCCACCAAAATTATTATTTTAATATATATTTTCAGAAAGACTCCTATAAAGATCATCCCATTTTTTTTTTTTTTTTTTTTTTAAGATCATCCCATTAGTTCACCGAAAGAAACATTAAAAATCAAGAGGTGGGTCCACAACCAATCAAAACAAGCCATCTGGTTGGACACATGTCTGCTAACTGGGACCCACTTGACTAACAATTTAATAAAACCACAGTTTTGTTTTTCCCATTTGTTTGCCCCACTTCTGTTTTAAATTTGTTTAAAATTGTGTTTTTTTTTAATTTTAATTTTTCTACTAATATGGTTAATATCATTAAATTCAAAAATTTTGATAGTTCTCTGTTTGATTTCATTTATCATCTTTCTTTAAAATAAACAATTCATAACATTTATTATTTTAAAAAATAAAGATATAATTAATTATTTATTTTCATTTTTACTTTTATTAATCATATATATGAAGAGATATTAATATGATGCAAAGAGAAAATTACTCCAGTTTATTTTTACTTGTCACAATTTGGCTTGATATATCTATTAAGAAAATTATTGTTGATATATGTATTTTAAGAATAAGTGGCAAGTAAGAATGAACCGATAGATTAGTAAATTGAGAGGAGTAATGAGTATGGATAATTACATCCTCTAGTTAATATCTTTTTTAAGGGAAGTGCAAAACAGATATAACAAAGTGAAATAAAATTGAAGGGGTATATTTTACCTATTTTTATTTTTATTTTTATTAAAAAAATCAAATTTAAATAAAGGGAAGAGTACATAAATGTGTTGACACATCACACACTTTGCTTTCTAATCTGTTTTTCTATATTTTTTTCAATTGCTTATTAGGAGGAACTGAAGTGTTGGTCTAACCTTTTTTTTTTCCTTCTTTCTTTTATTTTTTAGTGTGTCATTAATGCAAGATTGTTTTGAAACGGTAAGCAACTTCTCACTTACCTTCCTCTATTATGAGTATTTGTTTATTGGATTATTGTATTCATTGATTTGTGTATCTAATCAAACCTTTTTTTTTGTATGTATAATACAATACCCACAATAAATATAGAATGATTAGTCTCTAATAACAAATCCTTGCATGCATCCTTTCTTGATTTGTTTGACTCTTGAATTATATGGGGTTCTCTCAAACTTTTTTTTTTTTTTTTTTGATTCAACTAACTTTAGGTAATCAAGAAGAAGTTGGGTTGCTTTGAATTTGGAAAAAAGTTTCATGTTTGGTCTGCTTTGAGCTTGTAAGTCCTTTTTTTTTTCAATAAAGTTTGAATCTTTATATGTTGTGTTCTGTCTTGTTAAGCAGTGACCACTAGATTTGTTGTTTCCTATATATTATAAGTTGATAAAAAGTGATTCTTTGTTAAGGGGGTTTGTTGCTAATGTGTTGTTGAATGGATAGAATTGGAATAGAAGAGTACAAGATGCTGAATAGGGTTTTATGGATAGTGATTCCACAAGTTTGGACTTTGGATCCATATTCTCTTATGTCATAGATTTATTCTGTTTTTTTTTATGTGAAAACTTTTCTTGGCTTACAACTTAAGTAAATTTTAGGGATTTGAATAATTTTGGTTGGTTAGAAGATGGAAGAGATGTTTCCAGCACTTACTGTATCATATAAACAGGGAAAATTGATATATGATGAATCAGTATTACCCACATGTATTGACTTCGCTGGATATGAGCTGATCCCGAATACGACTAGCTTGCTATCAGAACCTAACAAGTGCAAACTTCCTTGTTCGGTGTCCAATCATATAGTGTCCAGGGACAAAGCTAACCTCTTTATGACAGTTGCTGATTGCCATGAAATCAGGAAAGGGAAGAGTTTTTCTTCGACAGTTGTAGCTAATGGGAATTGTTTGATTGCTAGTGAGGTAAAAGATGGTAGATCTATGGACAACAATTTGATTTCACCAACTGATGAGCTTTTAGGAAATATGACTTGTTCTGATTCTCTAGTGGATGAGCGTGGCGGCATGCCTAACCAAGAATATACAGATTTGGAGGTTAAGGTTGGGAGAACTCCTCCTCGGAATGAAGACAAGAAGGTTGGTGTATCCCAGATTCTGAGGAAGTCTTTTTCGTGTAATTTGGCTAGCGAGTTGGTTAATGAGTCAGAACTTGTAAGTGATCTTGTTTCCACTATGGTTGTGGGTGCTGAAGATTATAAAAGAAAATTATCACCATCCCATCTTGAGACCTCACAAGAGATAAAGATAAGTAGGCCAAATGCCTTTTGTTTTGATTCTGTACCGCTTTGGGGGCTCATCACGATACAAGGAAAGAGGCCGGAGATGGAAGATACTGCTATAGCTTTACCAAGGTTTCTGAGAATCCCTTCTCATATTTTGACGGATGCTTCAGTTTCTCATGCCCTGAGTCAAACACTTACAGCCCATTTATATGGGGTTTATGATGGACACGGAGGCTCTCAGGTGAATTTCTATCCGTTTTTATTACATTCTACTTTTGTTTTTAGTTTCTAGTAACACAAGAACTGTAATTGCCTGCATGTTTAGAGTTCATTTCCTATTTGTTTGTCATTTAAGCCTATGTACTAAGACCAATTGTTTTTTCCATAGCAGGTTGCTAATTATTGTCATGAGCGTCTCCATATGGTTTTAGCACAGGAGATAGATATTATGAAAGAAGATTCACATAATGGAAGTGTTAACTGGAAGGAGCAATGGTCAAAGGCTTTCTTGAATTGTTTCTGTAGAGTCGATGATGAGGTAGGAGGGTTCTGTAGTGAAACAGACGGGATTGAGCCTGACCTTTCAGTCATTGCTCCTGAAGCAGTTGGATCTACAGCTGTAGTTGCTGTTGTTAGTCCAACCCATATTATTGTTGCGAATTGTGGTGATTCAAGGGCAGTCCTTTGTCGGGGAAAACTGCCCATGCCATTATCCATTGACCATAAGGTAAGGCTTGTGTTTGTTGTTACACCGCTCTGCAACATTTGCTAGTTTTTTCTTTTTGCAACCATATAATATTCGTTGTTCATTGTTTTCAGCCAAATAGGGAAGATGAGTGTTCACGAATAGAAGAATTGGGAGGGAAGGTCATTAATTGGGATGGACATCGTGTTTCTGGTGTTCTTGCAGTTTCAAGGTCAATTGGTATGTATATTGTACTAGCCACCTGCAAATTTCATTGTACTGCTGTATTTTTACTGGAGAGGGTTAAGAAAGTCATCTATATTGTGCTTGATTTGCACATGGAAATAAAGGAATCTCAAAGCTACGATGGAGCAGACCTGCATATGTACCAAAATTAAAGTGTTATACCATACATATATAGTGTCAAAGTTCATCCCTGAAGCAGCTCACTGATGTTGGATAACGACGTCTGACTTCAGTTGACATGGTTGTCATTTATTATTTGGAAACTGTTATCCTAGAGATCAAAGCTTTCTTGATTTGAAGAAGTTGTCATTTTACTGCAGGTGATAGATATTTAAGGCCTTATGTGATTCCAGATCCAGAAATGATGTTTGTACCCCGAGCAAAAGAAGACGACTGTCTAATTTTAGCAAGTGATGGCCTATGGGATGTCTTGACAAATGAAGAAGCTTGTGATGTGGCCCGGAGACGAATTCTTCTCTGGCACAAAAAGAATGGTGGTACTTTGAGTAGCGAAAGGGGTGAAAGCGTTGATCCTGCTGCTCAGGATGCTGCAGAGTACTTGACACGAGTTGCTCTCCAAAGGGGCAGCAGAGATAATATATCTGTGATTGTGGTCGACTTGAAAGCACAGAGGAAATTCAAGAAGAAAACGTAGAGCACTAAACCATCCTCGTATTTCATTTTGTGGATGTAACATTGGAAACTTATCGTACAGGATGATAATCAAATCAAATCGTACTCATGTTGCAGATTTTAGCTTCCTTTTTAATTAGGCTGTTACCGTACATGATGGAAGTTATTCTGACAATAAAAATTTCAGCAAAGTTGGTTCAAAGAACAAACTACTGACTCCCAGCAGATTATTTATGTCACTATAGTATAATGTTGTCTTCCCAGAACTCTCTCACTGTTTTCTTGAGGTCTGTTTTCTGTTACCATTTCTTGGCATGTTATGTTTTGTTTTCCACTTTCTTTAATTTCCCTTTCTCCGCGCATTTGATTGTCGTGTTGGTCCAAAGCAATCAAACATACATGGTAGACAAAGCCAGCAGCTTTGAGTAACTTGTGCAAGAAAAGAGAAAAACTATCAAACAAACATAGTTCTCAAAACTTGAAAATAACAAAGCCAGCAGCCAGCAGCCAGCAGCCAGCTTGACAGGATGTATTAGAAGTAATTGGTGCATTTTATAAGCTACTTTCTTGGAATACATGGTAGAAAATCTGTGAATGAAAAGTTAAAGAAAGTTGAGGAATGGCATACTTACTGTTCGACCAAAAATGATAAAACTAAGTACTATTATTTTATACACTTGCTCTAATTTTCTGGCAACAAAAGTTAAGTCTAACTCTCTCGATCCTGTTCATGGATTAACGAAAATGTGCAAAAGCTCATTTGCCTCTGTCATTTCCTTGTAGATGGTCAATTTGCAAATTCTTCCTCAGTTAGTTAAAAGAATAATGATATTGTGACTATACTAGGTAGCATAGATATCATTATGAGTGTAGCTACAGAGATCAATGCAGTCAATTATGTCTATTGAAAGTTGGTTAGGCACCTCTCATTCTGTTCAGGGATTCTTCTTCTTCAGAGGTCAAGAATTAAGCATCACAGTAGCTTAAATTGTTACTGAATTTGAGCACCACCACAATCAACTCAAAGAAAAATGATGAACTTGACTTGAGACATTACCTGAATGATTTATAAGCTATATTATATTTTTTACACAACAAGCCAACACAATTATACAAATATACAGGTAGAAACAGACACTGCAGATGGAAACATTACAAATAAAAACATGTATACTCACACTCCACATGCTATATATACATGTCAAAGTCACTACTATCTTGGTATTCTCAACTTAAACTTGCAACTTAAAACATCAAGCTGGATGGGAATAGCATTGAGCCTAATGTGGTCTTTTAACTTGTATTATGACACCAATCAGTCAGTATCGGGTGTATTGTACGAGAACTTCGATAACAGTTGTGGAACTCCGGCTATTATTGGCCCATATGTCTGCAGATAAGGGAATTGATTGCATTAGTTCAAGTATAACATCGAGTAAGGCCATTTAATGTTGAGTAACTGTCTGTAAGAGTCCATTGTGATAAAAGAAAAACAGATTGATCAATTAGCATGGTAATATTCTATTCATGAATGTTCCTGCTGTACAGTACCTTGAAATTTTCATGAACTTGGTACAATGGAACAGCAATAAGCTTGAGGTTCTTCGGTACAATGAATTTGCAACTTTCAGGCAACCTCACTAGAAAGAGTTTTGTGCACTCCTACAAAGAAATAAAGTTAACCTTGCTAAATTGAGTACTAATACCTTCAAGAACTCCTGATAGCTAACTAGACAAATTTCAGAATATTATGACCAAGTACCTTTGGCCTTTTTATATTAGGTGGCAAAAAGGGGTAAATCAATGTTTCAAAGTCAGGTCTCCACCACATCCCAAGGCATTCACCGACCTACGTATACATCAAATGAAATATTTATAAGATGCATAGCCAAAAATATAAATTGAAAACACTACGTAAAATGTTGACATACCTCCCATCTGTCATCTTCTTCGCTCATGGATAGTTTACTTGAGAGTTTACGTCTAAGACCTTCAATTTCTGTGTATGTCAACAAGATAAATTCTTCAGTGCTCAAACTCCCAGCTTCAACATAGAAAATTGGACAAAATGAGAAAAGATATCATTGTACCTGATTCACCAGGCCTAAGACGACCACCTGGAAGTTTGTATATGGAATGCCGTACTTGCAATAATAATAGATGTGGATGTTTGAATAAATCAACCTGCAATGCGACGTATTGAATACTATATCATCCAACAACAATCACGAATAGCCCCTTTCTAATGCAGTATGTAATTCAATGGGTAATTGACATTTTGAACGACAGAAGAACACATAAAGGCTTGAGTTGTTTGAATAGAAATTACACCCCGTATTACGACCATCCATGAGGATTCACATAAGTATCGAGATCATTCACTTAAAATCAGGCACCAATTTATGGATACTTGAACTATTGGAACAGATGTCAAAACTACAATCTCTGCTGCTCTCTTGATTTTTAACTACTCACACAGGAAATTAGTTAAGATTGCAGACTTAGAGCCTGTTTGGATTGGCTTATAAGCCATAAGTTATAAACCCGTCTAGACAGGCTCTTAGAACCTGCAAAGTTGCAAAACTGACGGCTGAACTGTCTCGATGACTCCATGTATAAGCAGTTTATGATACAAACAGGTTTAGTTGCAGCACGGCGTTGGCTCTACTTATTCAGCACTTCATGAACCAACCATGCTTAGTGGCAGTATCAAGTTGTTTGATAAAAGACGGAGGTTTAGAACGTACATCTTTAGGTCACTATGTTCCCCCAAAAGAACTTCAGCCTGGAGGCGTTTACTTGTGGATATTAAATCAAAGCAGTAGGGCCTGCATCCTACAACTACATAGTGAAATAACAGGAGAACCTCTGTTGCAATTCTATTCCAAAATGAGAATCCTAAAACTAAAAGCTACTTACTCACCGAGGAGAAAGAAATGCAAGATAAGATAACAGCTTCTAGAGCTGGAAACCACACGTAGTTTTTGAAAAGTTTAGACCATTTCTCGATTTGTGTCACATCCTTGTGCAGGAGCCACGGTACACTGTAATGTCCCAATTTTATTGAATGTTCCATTTGACAAAGTTACTGGCCTGCTAAGCCAAGTCAGTTGCTTGTTGCGATTTTATATAAAGTTAAAATGGTGTTAAAGATCCAACCAATTTTAAATATATTATTTATATGCAAAACTGCTATTTAAAGTTTATGCAGCATATAAGATGAAACAACTAATCCCTACACAAACAAATTCAAAAATATCCTCAAAATTAATGTGTTACTAATACCTACATAACTCTAGTCAGCTACAAAACAACCCCTCAGTTCTTGCAGAAAAGCACTTATATTAAGGGAGCAAAAATCCAGAGGCTAATTTTTAGGCTGCAACAACTGAAACTTTCAATTATTTCTAAAGAAATGCGCTTTAAAAATCTTTTGGGATTGGTTTTGTTTTGTTCTTTGTGTTTTCCTTCACCATTAGGTATTCGAAACAGGAACTTAGGGTTCAGGGACCCAATAGCTTTTTAGTCGATCATGTATTTATATTAGAAAATTAAATTAATATATATGTATATTAACTTGTTAACCTACTAAAAATTAATTGGCGGCTCAGAATGGGACATGGAAACTCTTTCCATGGTAGAGTTGTGGGTTTGAACCCACTATCAACCAAAGGAAACATGTTTTGCAATAATCGTGGCTCCGCCCTCAGAATTTTGAAACTTACTAATTTGGATCGCAGTATCTAAAACACCCGGAGTATCTAAAGGTCCTCTATACTCACCCCTTACCTCTAGCTGTTTTGAAAAAAAGGAAGAAAGAGAAACTAACCAAAAGCACAGCTTGTACACAAGTTCTGATTCCATGAGTATTGTAGCTGAAATAAAGAGGAAACAAAAATGAACATACAATATATATAGTGATTGAAAGAGAGGAATAAGGATAGAAAAATATACTTGAATTTCAAGCGTTGAATGCGATGATCCAAGGTCTCCTCTTCCTTTAATGGAAGTGACTCTTTTGAACCAAAATAGTAATGATTCAGTGGGTAAATATCCAAAACATCCACATTTCCATCTGCCATTGACAAACTCACACCAAACACAGACAGGGGAGGGGAAGTTGCCGACAGAAACAGAGTTGCTAATCTTCCACTAATTAAAAAGGCAAAACAGAAATATCATCACGACCAACCGTTTAACCTGACATTGAGTTTAAGAAATAAACTTTTAAAACTTTGTAGTCTAAAATAATTGTTAAATTTGTGTGGCTGAGAATTGCTTTATTAAGGGTAAAAAAGAAATTTTAAAGTTGAATTATTTTTAATTATAATAAATCAATATTCTTTATGAGACGGATTAAAAAGAAAAATGTGTGGGACAGAGATATGATTTTGGACTGCACAAGTCTTCCTATCTTGAGGCCATTGTTAAGTATGCACAAATTTTGATTTATGTTATGAAATATATTATAATGTGGATGTCTATTAAATGTAATCTCGTTATTATTTCATTACTCTTCTAGAATTATGTTCTATTTCTCTTATGACCTTAAAACAATAATGCTATATCTTTCACCGACTCCGTAATGTCCCCCATGTTATGTTTATGACATTCTCTTTGATTATCTCTACATAATTCTATATATAGAGGATGAAAGGTCATTATTGACATATTTAAGAGGAAAAAGTTATCCTATAATTTATTTCTTTATCTTCATTTTTATATTATTTTAAACTTAATTTTACAATACATTGTCAGCATCATGTTCTAACTTTATGTCTTAGCAACTCAGCGATCTAGACTTGTATAAAAATAAGGCACAAATTTGTGCCTGAAAGGCCAATACTTTAGTATAATTCAAACTACGATATTTTTTAAAAACAATTTGTGACATTTCACATACGAACAACAACAACAATATACCCAGTGTAATCCTAAAAGTATGGTCTAGAAAGGATAGAGTGTATGCAAATCTTACCACTATTTCATAGAGGTAGAGAGGTTGTTCTGGTATACCCTCAACTCAAATACATCCAATCCAAGTACAAAGAAGAATGAAATAGTGTAGAAAAAAAAAGTAACTAACAATAAAAGCAATGCAAAGGAACAAGACCAACAAAATAGTGTGATACTAGGAACACAGTAAACCACAAACGATGAGAGATATAAAAAATAATAACTACAATAATATGACTAATACAACGACAAATACCAACAAGAGTACCCTTAAAAACCAAAAAAACCCTCAATTATCTGTCAACCTTCTACCCTAATATGTGTGCTCAACATCCTTCTATCCAAGGTCATGTTCTCGATAACTTAAAGTTACATCATGTCTTGTCTAATCACCTGATCCCAAATACTTCTTCGGCCTACCTCTAACTCTCCTCGTACCTACTATAACAAACTTCTCGCACCTCCTCACTGGGACATTTGCACATCACTTCTTCATATATACAAACAATCTAAATTGCGCTTTCGTCATCTTGTACTCCATGGGGACACTTTTACCTTATCCCGATATTTCCTCATTCCTAATCTTATCAATCCTTGTATGCCCACATATCTGTTAGAAAATAGCATACACAACGGAAGCATTCCAGAATCATACATCTTGAATGAGAATAGACAACAATCACAAATATGTATCACATACAAAGTATGTTGAAAATTAACTCAGGATTACCTCTTGAAGCATTTGCAGATATCTTAAAGTAAATCCGACTCCAGCTCTACGGTCTTCTACAGTGATCCCAATTAACAATTGAACTCTCTCAATACTTGGGTGGGCAAGTATCGTATAGAATACTGGATTCTCTTTCTAGGTTAGAAGAATCCCTACTTACAGAGATATCTTCCTAGTCCAAAGAGAATTCATTTTCTTCCAAGAAAAACCAAGAAACACACGTTTCTTCTTTTTCCACAAGATACACACTTCTTTTTTCTTTTTACCAGAAAATAGGATTCTGAATTCTAGTTAAATTGGGCACTGGAGGGACCACATAATTTATTACTGAGGCTTCCTATTATGGAAATAATTCCAAATAATTAATTTGAAATTATTCTTACCATAATAAATTACAAATCATTCCACTAAAAATTCGTAATTGCACTCATCTATTTATATTTCGAAATTCACCATGTAATTCCCCATGTTAAGATTACAGATACTAATCAATAAATTAAATTAATGACGAATTTAATTCAATGATTAATTTTCTTTAGAGCAATACTTAACTTATTTCATGTGCCAGACTAATAAATCTACCGGCCGAGTTTACACATGAAAACTTATAAGTTTCTCATAAAAAGGTGTATCATCAATCTCTATATTGAGACATGGATTCCATCAACTAACTAATTATTTCACCAATATATATTATCATCATCCAATATACCAGGCATATTGGCCCATCTCAGAATCTTACCTTTTAATAAATCAAAATGATAATTAATATATACAGATCATAATCGTTATATCAAGATTAAGAATATAAGTACATTTATCAGTTTAGAGAATATATTTTTATCAGTCAGTCTAAAACATCTATCTCTTCTCGGTCCCGTTCAATACATACAAAATGCATTAGCACAAGAAGTTAGAACTATATCATTCTCATAATAAAGATAAATTACATTTAATCTCGTGCTACAATCTTTCTGATCGTTTTGTCCAAATTTCCATCTACGATTGTGAACTATAACTTTTAACTTATAAGAACCGATGATTTAATCTTCTGTGTATAAGCTTAAACTCTATACACCAAATCATCTACTATATAAGTTAAGGACACATAAATGACAAAATGATCTATATAATGTAACACTGTATTGAATTGAATAAATGAATAAACAATTGTTCAATAATAATACTATATCAAAACGCATGGTTAATAGTATATCCTAACAATATCCAACTCAAAATCCTCATTTCTACAACATGCATCTTCTAAACACGGGATTTTTTGACTAGCCAACATTTTGCCCCATACAACAAAGTTGGTCTAACCACCTCTCTATAAAAAAAATTTACCTTTAATTTTACCTTTCATCTACGTTGCATCAATACGATGTGTGATATCATCAACGATGTCCCCATATTCTTGGATTACAAACTCAAGATACTTGAAACTATCTCCCTTTGGGATAGCCTATGTGTTAAGCCTCACTTCTACGCATGTCTCTTGTATTTCATCACTAAATTTGTACTCCAAATACTCAGTTTTGACCCTATTTAACCTGCACCCTTTAGACTCTAGAATTTGTCTGCACACCTCTAACCTAACATTAATTCTGCTATGTGTCTTCATTAATTAGTACTATGTCATCCAAAAATAACATACACCAAGGCATCTCATCTTTAACGGAACACATTATTCATCCATTACCAAGGCTAATAAAAATGGATTAAGAGTTGATCCCTGGTGCAATCTATCTCCACTGAAAAGTGTCTCAAGTCTCCTCCATTCATTGTAACTCACATGTTAGCTCTATCATTCATGTTCTTCATTGTCTTGAGTAAGCTACCGGTATACCTTAGGAAGTTCAATGTCATTTGGGTCATTGTACACATATTGACCAAATTTGCTCACTTTGTACCAGTTTAAACTACTTACCATTCAGTGAGATTGACAAAGATTTATATCCAAGATATCATTTGCTTGCACTATGCCTATTTATATCATTTCAGATTGTTGTGCCCAGTTAAAATTGGAGTTCTGGGTCTATGCAAATGGAATTAGGTAGTTGGGTAATGCTCAATACAACCTTTCATCATCATACAAATGGTCAGCCTACACAAATTATTAGGTACTGTAGGACATGTTTTGAGCATATACTATTCATTTTGGAGGACATTGTGACTGATTCTTGCCATTGGTAGAGTTTGTCTACAATAAAAGTTACTTTTTAGGCATTCAAATGGATCCCTTTGAGGCCTTGTATGGTCTAAGGTGTAGGCATCCTATTGGACGATTTAATGCTTTTGAGGTTAGACAGTGAGGTGCTAATTTGTTAAGAGATTTCTTGGACAAGGTAAAGGTGATTCAGGATATAAATTTTATAGCTTAGACCATGCAAAAGAGCTACACAGATTGAAAGGTTCAAGATTTTAAGTTTATCGTTGGAGAGAAGGTGTTATTGAAATTGTCACCCATGAAGGGTGTCATGAGGTTTGGAAAGTAAGAAAAGTTTATCCCCAAGTTTGTTAGTCTATTTGAGGTACTTCAGCACATTAGAAGGTGACCTTACCTCTAGGTCTTTCAGTTGTGCATCTTGTATTTTATATGTCTATATTGACGAAGTAACATTTTTATTGTTCACATGTGATTCAATGGAAATATTGGATTAGAAATGGATTTTCAAGAGAGGAGCTTGTGCTATTTTGCAAAGATAGATGAAGTTGAGACCAATGAGATAACTTTGGTGAAAGTGCACAAGATACATTTTTCAGTAGAGGAGGCCACCTATGAGACTGAGCTAGTGTCACAACCCAAGGTGGCCCCTAGGCGTAACATGGCGTATAGGATCCCGAGAGGCGCCATACAAGCCACTTAGTATTCATCATACAAGAAAATAGAATATAAGACATAAAAAGACAGTTTCAACAATTGAGAGTTTTATAGAGAAAAGCGGAAATCTAAACATCGTCTAAAAGCCATCTAGTACATAAGAGTTTATCAGGGCGTAGCCCGTACATCAAGTTCCAAAACTGAATGTAAAGAAAAAAGGGAAATCAAGCTCGGTCCTCGGAATATAAGGACTCACCAAACTTCAATCTTCTAAATGAGATCCTAGCCACGAAAGTGCGAATCTGTAAGGCTGGTCCCTACATTTGGGGAAATGTAGGCAAGAGTATGCGTTAGTACAAAATATGTACCAAGTATGATAGCCATGCATAAAACATTGAAAACATGAGAAAAAGGGACATTTTCATAAAGTGCAATGACCAAGATAAATCATGAATGTAAAAGAAATAGAAGACATAAGCCATAAAACATGGTCAATGCAAATAGACATCATCTTAAGTCACATGTGAGATACTTCTTTAAAGTAACCTTAGTTCATTATTGTGGAAGATTTACCTTTAACCGACATATAAGGCCATGTGAGCTATCAACACGAATTCTG